ACAATAATATTCAAATTTGAGAAAGTAAGGGTTTGTCTTAGAAAATTTACGGATTGGAGTAAAATGTTAAATGAAGCAAGTAGTGGCAAGCAAATGAATGGAATGGAAAGGGCATGATGTGGCGAACGCGAATGTTTTTTTTTGTGCTAGAGAGTGAAAGGAAAAAAACGATACAGCTGGCGTTGGCGGCGAGGACGGTGTTGTGATTACAGTAATTAGTAGAAACGAATATGCGAATGACTTCCGAGTGATTGATTATAAGGAGGTGCGACGTGACCTGTAACGAGTGTTGTAATTGTGTGTCGTCGAGGTTGGTCGCTCTTCTACAGTCGGAGGCACGGTATGAGAACGACCTGGAACGTCCATTTCTGAAGAATTAATATTAAATAGCTCCTGTTGCTCTTGTTCTGGTAACCACGGTGAAGTAAAAACTGGACCGGACAAAGTGAAGCACTTTTTGACTTGATTCATATGAACTTTTCGGGCTGGTGTTTGAGGTGATGAAACACTGGTGATAATCAAATGGGGTGGCTCTATGGCGATCACGCGAAATTGCCCCAACCACGGGTTGCGCAGATTTTGAGAAATCCCAATTTTAGGAGCGAAATCTCCGAGAAAAAACTCTGTCACCTACTTGAATTTTGATGGGTTGCAAGTGCGTTTGGTCGTAGTGACGTTTGAACCGCTTGGCCTGCTCCTTGTTTTATAAAAGAGGCCGAACGCCAGGCCGCATGTAGCGTCGAGACAAGAGATTCAACGTAGATCCCGGCATCATCGTCTGTGGGCCAGTGCCGCCGTAGATCGTGTTTTATTAGTAGGTCAATATTGAATATCGGATCCTTGCCAAACATGAGGAATAAAAGAGTATTTTTTGTGCTGCTGTGGACAGAAGTGTTATACATAAATGCGCAAGCGGCGATAAACTTTTCCCAGTCTAGTTGATTTTCGTTTATATAAGTACGCAGCATAGGATGAAAAGTAACGAAAACTCGCTCGCAAGCCCCATTCCCTTCGTGATGATATGGTGTGATGAAGTAGTGATGAATTCGTAAAAGACGTCCAATTTCAGTAATGACTTCCCCTTTAAAGTCCGCTGCACTATCCGAGATCAGTTCAGTCATAGCACCGTACTTAAGTATGCATTCGGTCATCACTGCATGCGCAACCGT